GTTCCATGGCCGGACCACTGGGCTTTCAAGAGTCCCAAAGGGGTGGCGTACTGCAGAGATCATCACCTCCACAACAAGTGTTCGGGATCTTGCGGCCGATCCCACAACTGCCCGGTCAGGAAGGATGGGTGGGTGTGCGATGCCCCCCCTTCGAAGCATGTGCCACAGGCATGCCCTCACCTTCCCAAGTGACAGGAGGCCACTCAGGGTGCCATAGGCCCCGTGGCTTCCCGGTCTCAGTTGGGACCACAGGCCACCAGTGCGAGAGTGCACACAGAGGGGGTGAGCCAACCCCACCAGAGCCACAGCGGAAGGCAGACAGAGCGGGGGAGGCCAGGACGGCCTCAGATGGGAGGGGACTTCTCCAGGGTGCCACCGGCCCCGGAAGCCCCTCCACCGAGGAAGAGGAGCGGTCCCAGCCAGGGCACTCCAGAAGGGCGGAAGCATCCCTTTCCCCCGCACCCACCGAGGCAGTGGGAAGACCCCCCAGAGAGACCCAGAGGTGAGGATCCGCCCGGCAAGGGGCGTTCCAAGGGCGGGAAGAACCGCCAGGGCAAGCAGCACAGATGACGGGAGACGGAATCCCTAGGGGGGGCAAGCCCCACCTTCCCATGGATGCAGGACATCCCGGAAAGACTGAGGCTCAGACTGAGGTGGACGCCACGCCCAGTGCCGGAGTCGTCAAAGCCGTCCCTCATCCTGCTGTACGCTGGGAAGGATGATGCGGGGGCCCTGGATGCTTACCTCCATGCCTACAACCCGGCATTCTCGGAGTACATTTGGGCGGTGGACATCAGGCGGAAGGGTGGAGACCTTGGACAGGACATGCTGAGCGAGGAGCCGTACTCCACGATGTGCTCCATGGCCATGGCGGGCAAGGTCGCCTTGGTGGGGGGCGGCCCCAACTGCAGGACGTGGAGCATCCTCAGATGGTTCCCCAAACCGGGGGGCCCGCCGGTGAGGGGCAGAGCAGAGCAGACCCTGTGGGGCTTATAGAGGACCTGGAGCCCCGGGTTATGGAGGACACGGACAATGACAGCGTGCTCATGCTCCGTCAGATGTACCTGACCTCGCTGGCCTACAAGGGGCTAGGTCAGCTAACGGTCCCGCAGGTGGGCTCCTCCTTCTTGGAGCACCCGATGGACCCAATGGAGTGCAGCAAGAGCCCGAGCGCAGCGAGGTGCTCATCGATCTGGGTCACACGGGCCTACATTCAATGGGCGAGCGCACTCCACCACTCCCTCATCAAGTTTGACGAGTGCCGCCTGGGCCAGGTGGTTGTGAAGTCCACGACATTGTCAACGGACCTTCCCCTTCACCATTGGCATGATCTGCGTTGCAACCACGGGGCTCACCCCAGGGGGGAAAAGCTCAACTCCAGTGACCTCAGCCGGTACCCGGAGCAGATGATGCAGGGTCTCGCAGCGGCCATCCTTTGCCGAGCGGGACCCGTCCTGGAGGCGCTGAGGCCGGGGGGCACGGCGCCCCAGGCGAACCCAACGACCCCCCCGAGGCGGCAGAGGGAACCTTCTCCCAGCACGCCGGGGGACAACAAGCGCCAGTCCCGGAGGCTGAAGGCTGGCCAACAAGCGTTGGCAGGACTAACCTTGGGTTCACTTCCGGTCTCGGCCTCGGACAATCCGGAGGTCCGGACACCGACACAGAGGACTGGCGAGACGGACGAACTGGGGGGGGGAACTCTTTCCCCTGAGCCATGGGCACACCATGGCATGGAGATCTCGGATCGGCCCACCATCCTGCCGATCACGCACGACCCCAATCTCTCCGACAAGGTCATGTACCTCCAGATGGCCTTCAAGCAGCGCCCCCTAAGGGACGGAGGAGGAAAGCCCTCATTGGGACGGTTGGCCCCATGGACCCGGCCACTGTCCAAAAGCAGCGATGGGGGCCAAGATCTGTGTCCTCACTTCACCATGGGGGGACAAGCTCCAGGAGTCGCTCTCGTTGGGGGATGGGTCACATCCCTTCCCGGAGGACCTGCTGGAGGATATCAGAGAGATTCTGGCGCCGGGGGCAGGCCGACCAGCTGACGGCCAACCCTTCTTCCTGGACATTTTGCACAGCGTGGCGCTGAACATTCAGGACCCCCAGGATCTGGAGCAAGGGGTCCCACTCGGGGTCACGGACCCACCCCTGACCTCGCCGGGCATCTGGCCACTCAAGAAGGAGCTGAAAGGGGAGGAGCCGGAGTTCCAGGAACTCCCTCACCCAACGGGCAGGGGTAACTACCCCTCGGCGGATCACTTCAGCGAGCTCATCCGGGGCACATTTCTGGAGGAGGTCCCCATGGGCATGGTGGAGGGCCCCTTCAGTAAGGTGGAGGCAGCATCGCGCTGTGGCTGCGAAATCGAGGACCTTTGTCCCGGCCCCCTAGCGGGCATCGACGAGGGGGACAAGATCCGCACGATCTACGATGGCTCGGTGGGAGGGGCCAATGACACCATCAGGAACCAGACGGTGGAAAGGACGACGGCTCCGACGGTGCTGGATGGTCCAAGCTCTTCATTGGCTACATGCGGCAGCTGCGGAGGGAAATTTTTTCAGGGTGCCCCTGGCCCCGAGAGGGGGGTCGTCAAACCTCCACCTGGGGGCTGGCTATGGCCGGAGCCGGGCACCAGGTGGGTGCTGCTCAAGGCGGACGTCACCAAGGCCCACCGGAGAGTGAAGGTCCTCAGGAAGGACTGGCGGTTCCAGGTGGCTTCACTGGGGGAAGAATGGTGGGTGAACAAGGTAGGCACATATGGCATGGCCAGTGCCCAATCCTACTGGGGACGCCTGGCAGCCCTTCTACTCAGGGTCCTCTACGCACTTTTCCCTCAAGTGGATTGGAACTTCGTCTTTGTCGATGACTTCCTGTGGCTGCTTCGAAGCGAGGGGGCAGTAAACTTGGCGGTGGCGCTGCTGGCAACACTCCTGGCCTTGGGCACCCCGCTTAGCTGGAAGAAGACGCATTTGGCGGAGGTTAACACGTGGCTGGGATTCGTGGTCCACCCGAACATCCCGCAGGTTCTCATGGCAGCCAACAAACACATCCTGGTTATGGAGGTTTTGCAGACCATGGTGGAAGGGCAGGCGATGCACTCAAAGGACATCGAGAAGGCCCTGGGTCGCATCCAATGGGCGACGGCTGCATGTCCGCTGGCGAAGTCGATGCTCCAGCCACTTTGGGCCTGGAAGATGGCCACCACCACGGTGGGGAAACCCCCCAAGGTGGTCAGGATGCTGGCGTTCATGCTGCGGTTCCTCTTCAACACGCCTTTCGTCCAGTACTCCCCTTACTTGCCGAAGTCCTCTTGGTGGGGTTGCAGCGATGCTAGCGCCTCGGACGAAGGACTGGCATTTGTGGGAGGTTGGTGCTCCAACAAAGTGGAGCCGGAAAAGAAGGAGGTGTACTGGTTCCACGAGCAGATCCACGTGGAGGAGTACCCTTGGGCTTTCAAGAATGGGGATCCCAAGCGGAGGATTGCGGCTCTGGAGATGCTGGGCACGCTCTTCCTCTGTAACATGATCCTCACGCACCAAGGCCCTCTGTCCTCCCGGGTCCGACTCCCGGTGGGCAGTGACAATCAGGGCAACGTCATGGCGATGCTCAACCTTGGATCCAAGAAGCCCTACACCGCGGCGATCCTGATGGAGCTGGTCTTCCTGCTCCACACCCATGGCTGCTCGCTGGCGGCCAACCACGTGCCCCGTGAATTCAATCAATGGGCTGATGAGCTGACGCACCCAGATTTCTCTGGGTTCGACCCTTTGCAAAGGGTCCCCAAGCAGGAACTCTGCGAGGAGTTCGTTTTTCTCCCGCGTCTCCTGAATGGAGATGCATTTGATCTTAGCGTGGGCCCACCCATGCTCCCGTGACCGGAGCCGGTGGGCGACTCACTTCCCCTGGTGGCAGACCCCCCTGTGGCCTGGGTGCCACGGGCGGCGGGCGCTATCAGTCTGCACACCCGTTCTTCAGTTTTTGAGATTGTGAGTTGGGTGGCCCATGGGGCCCACCCAGCCTTTGTCATCTGACAGGGGAAGATGAGTCCCTGGCACCAACACACTGCTCGGATAAAAGAGTTATCGCGTGCTTGTGTGTGGTGCCGTTTGGTTAGCTTGCATACACTAATCATTATAATCATCCCTACTAAGGGGACCATGACCATAGGCCATGGAAAGGGAATGAAAGAGTTTTGACCATGGCTCATGTGTGTGTGTGTGTGGGTGCGGGTGTGGGTGTGGGTGTGGGTACGGGTGCCTCGTGTGCGTGCGTGCGTGGGTGGGTGGGTGGGTGGGTGCGTGGGTGGGTGCGTGGGTGGGTGGGTGGGTGCGTGAGTGGGTGCGTGGGTGGGTGGGTGGGTGCGTGCGTGCGTGGGTGGGTGGGTGTGTTTGCATGGAAGAAAGGCCGCCTTGGCTTTCTTTTTTCAAAAGAACCGACTCCCAAAGCTGCGGCCTTTTTTTCACTCATTGCTGGCACCATTTTGGGTTACACGCCCCCTTTTTGGAGCGGCCCATCACCATCAAAACTTTTGCTAAAATGCTTGAAAAGCGAAGTAAGGCGCATGCACCTTTGTTGGGACAGCTCCTCAGTGAGGGGTTCCCAAAATTGGGATAGCTTCATAAGGCGCATTCGTCGATTTGAGTCCGACATTTGCCCGCTCCCATTCTTTATTGGTATCTTGGTTTGTGCTTGCCGCGTCACAAAAAGCCTGCTTGGTTTCGGGATTGGAACCAAAGGCAACCCCTGGCTGTTGGACCATGCTTGTCTTACTCTAGGGGACCCCCCCCCAAAAAAAAAGAAAAGAAGTTTTCTGTTGTTTTCCATTTATCACTGCAAACATGGGGTGCCCCTTAACAAGACACACACAGGCACATTCCAATGCATGAAACGAAATATTGGTTGATCAACCACCAATCCCAAGAATCCCAAGTGCCTGTCCTGGATTTTGCAACCATCGGCATAGTTGAAGTAAGGGTAGGTGTAAGGTGACCGCAAGGATGGCGGTCTTCGAAGACAGCGACTTCGATGTGGTCGGCGTGAGCTGGACATCTTCGCCAGCAGAGGCGTGGGACGGCCCCGGAGCACGCGTGTGGCTGATGGTAGATATGTTAGGTGCAATGTTATGTGTATCATAGTTTTTTTGTTTTTTTTTAAAGCTAGTATTCGTCATTCGGCTGGAAACAGGGATGGCTTGTATCTTGGGGGCGGTGACGCCCCGATGACGCCGAGCCGTTGGATGGCCAAGCCACGAGGCCGCTTCCTTCGATCCACCGGTTTTGTTTGGTTTTGTTTTGGCATCCCGAGCAAGCATCCCTTTGGTTTCCTTTTGGAACCCCCCGTCAAATGTCTACCCTTGTGCCGATCGTGTCTTTGAACCCCAAGAGGCTTTTGGAGAGTTGGGCACCCTGCCAGTTTGGACAGCAGCAAACTGACTCCTGATCACCAACCCTCCAGGTCGACGTTGCGGAAGGCCGGCAGGTTTGACTTTCAGGTAGTAGATTACAAGCAGTTAGGTCTATAACCAGATAACTTGAGTGTGGAATACGCGCGTGAACCTCTCAGAGGTTCAGTGGTACGCATGTTCTTCAAAAGTGTTGGATTCCCTGCTCAGCGGGTGTCCTCCTTTTCTCCTGGTCACTATGGTCGATAATTCAGCCATAATTGGTGGATAGCTAGTTGACAAGTTCCCAAGGGGGAAACGCCGATTTTACGACAAGCGAAAAATAGACCGAGCGAACGGATGCCCTCATGATGATCCTTGCTTGGAAACGGACCCTCGCTGCATATTTTAACGATCATAGATCTCAAAGAGTGTATGTTTTTGGACAACGAGTAGAGCACTAAAAAGGCTCCATGCGAATGAAGCAGGATCCAACATTCGAGTTCGGACCCTTGCCGGTGTGTCATAGACTCCTGGTTCTACCGTGCTCAGGCAAGGAGGAGCTGCCCCAGCAAGCGCTGCGCGCCTGTTTGATGGGCTTTGGGCCACTTGAGGTTGATTTCCTTTGGACATTCAACCAGACCCTTGAAAGTTCAAAGGCGCTGTGTTTGAGGGTTTTAGCATTTTAGCAATTCTGATCCACTTAACAAGCTTGAAACGGGGGGAAGGGGGTTGTAACTGTGGCTGCTTGCAAAGCTTCCGATCGCTTCCTCCAGTAGATTTCCCCTCAACAGCAGGCGTTCGAGTGAAGTGGTCATGGTGAGTTTGTGTTTCCGGCGACATAAGAAAACGGAAATGTGTTTCCCTTGGACCAACGTTCTACCCTTTCGCCACAATCCCTATGTTTCCGCTCAGCTGTTGTGTGACATATGACCCTCTGGAAAGGCCAATTTGAAATGTGACGTTCCTTTTGGCGGGTGCTTGTTCGCGCACGTGTTTTGGCATTTTTTGACTTGTAGTCGCGTCTGGATTAGGGGGAAGGTCGGGAGCGGTATATTCTGTGTTGTTTCCAACCAATCGGCCAACTCCGAGATCTAGATCTGGATTTATGGTTTGTGGGAAGGGGCTTTCGCGCAAACCTGTGATAGGAAAGTGTCCATCGGGTTCTGTGCTTTTAGGAATCCCGGATAAAGCACCTTGCCGCACCCAAAATGGGAAAGTCACCCCAAACAACTAAAACACCAATTATTAGAGCATCAATAGGGGTCAAGAAACTGGGGTTTTGGGGTTTTGGACCACCCCCTTTCGAGGCAAGCAGGATAAACGTGGATTCCAAGCCTCGAAATCGACCGGCTGCCAGGACTTTGCAGGGCAACCTCGACCCGCATTTGCCAGAGCCTGAATGTGCGGATAGCGCTTGATCACCGGTTTACCTTTGGCGGATTTTGCTTGGATGTTAGGACTTTAACTTTTTGCCAACTGATGGGTTTTCCAATAAACCACGTAAAGTTAAACTTTTGGCAGGGGAGCAGAAAGCAACCGAGTTACGGATTGCCACCCAATTTAGTAGGTGGTTACTATCCCCGGTTCATACGTCCTCATTTCGTGGATTCTGTACGGGAACTCCGACTTGGGGACTGATTACACCTTGGGGATACGGTTGCCCGAAGGTTTTGCGGGTGGACATGGTGTCTTCACTGCAATATTTAGGGCATCCACCGTGTTAGCCACTAGGCGCGGTGGTCTGTCCCGCGATTGGCCAAGCTCCGAGCAAGGCTGTACGCGGATCCGGATCAGATCCGGGAGAGGACTGTGCAGATGGTCAAGGAATTTGGCTCGCAACTTAGCAGCCGCAAAGGGCATCTCTCCGGGTAGCTGCGTTCTGAGCAGATACCGACCCCTCACAATGAGTTGTGACAAAAACAAAGAAACTTTGCCGTGTCCTTTGGGGTCCACTTCACCAGAGCACAATGAGTCAGCGAGATGCTCCGAGCCTCAAGGGTCCAGTTCTTGGTGAAATCATATTCACCAACGTGTCCGAGGCGTGCCCAAGTACATTTGCAACCTGGGCCACGGCATGCCACGTGCTCAGTCGGCGTGAAACTAAGGTTTTGCCGAGGGATCCGGAAAATCAGTCGGGTGCACTTGAGGTTTGGTCAAAGTTTCCAATAGCCTAGGGTTGATTTTGGAAAAACCCGGGGCCTCGCCAGTCTGTCCATGATGGGGAAACAAGTAATTCCGACTGTGGCTCACTTGGGCATTGCACTGGTCCCGGGGGTTTGTGCGCAGAAAGATGGGTGTAACGGCAAGAGATGCTTCCAATGAAGCTCCATTAAAGATCAATGAATCCAAGCCCAGCCATAAGTGCAGGGAATTGGGTTGCCGATGGCCGCTGCATGTATTGCTTGGTTCTTATATTTGGTGATAGTTTGTAGTGGTTTTAATTCATGTAATACAACATCTTTTAAAATTTATCAACATATTTCAATGAAATGTTATGCAAAATAGTTTCCGAGGCCTTTCAATTCCTTTTGGCTCGCCATCGCTGCCATCGCCATCGCCTGCCGGGCCAGCCATCGCCAGGGTGCCGACACACCCGGTGGAGGGGCCCAAGGCCTTCATGGAAGGGGTGGACAGCGTGTCCTGCGAGGCGCGGCTCGGAGGTCGCAACTATTTTTTTGTTTGTTTCTCTTCTTCTTGTTTTGTCTTGTTCTTTTCTTTTGGGTTCCCTTTGCAACTACCAGTTACCAAAAAAGGGGCACCCGCAAAAAGGGGACTCTTTGTTCATTTTCTTTTTTTGGGGTTTGGGGTGGGGGGGGGAGGGTTCCCGAACCATTTCCCTTGAAAGGTTACTCCACAAGTGGCTTTGTCGTTTCAATGGACACCACCAGTAAGTTGATCAACTTTTGAAGTAGGTCAACATTAAACCGGACCACAAATTGTAGTCCTTGGTTCCATTTAGCTTGGTTCTATTTTCCGGGGCAACCAATTTTGGGTGCCTTTTTTTGACCCGCACCCACAAGGGGGTTGTGCAGCACCAGCGCCCTGAAAAGGGCCCCCCTAAGTGACTAAGTGGAATGTGGAATCAACAAGTCCGGTCTTGGGTAGACCCAGTCCTCCTTTGCGAGGAATTTCGTATCGAACAGAGATTCCTCCCGGCTTGCAGCCGAAAACATGAACGTTTTCTTTGGGTATGCGAGTTCCATGGACAGAAACGGCTCAAACCTAAGAAGCAATGCCCAAAGCAAGGTGGCTGCAGACCAGACTCCCCATTCAGACCCCATGAATCAACCAGCTTCTGTTTATGAATCCCGGGCGGCCCTTTTCAGCTGTGGGTAACCAGAACAAGCAAATCTGAGCCGAGCAGCCCAAACTTCTGTTCACCCCACTCAAGTTTGGAACGACAAGCTCCAAGAAGCCCTCAGGGATTCCTTGGACGGGAGAGTTATCTGGCACTTTTTTCCAAACTGTTTGCTGAAGTTGGCAGGAAACTTTTTGCCATCCTTTTGCTGAAGTTTTCCAAACTTTTTGCTGGCACCCCTTTCCAAACTTTTGTGAATCCACGTAACCCGCAGGATGCTCCCGCACCGTCGCAAGAGGCGCGGAGGGGAAGGGCACCTGGGAAAGCAGCGGAGCGGTCGATCCCTGGCCACGTTGCCACCCATCGGAGAAATGGCTGTTGTCAAAACCGTTTTGGGATCCCATTTTGGTTGGTAGGTGAATTCACCACCCATGTCAGAACCTATAGTGGTTGGATTGAATCGGATGTTCACTGGGGGTACGATTTGGCTTTTGACCCATGGCCAATGGACCCCCCTTTTGAAAGGAAACGGAAGCAACCGTCCGAGCCAGGACGGCAGGTTAGCGGACGGGAGGGTATGAAACGCAAGTGGACCAACCACCTTTGAGGTGGTTCCCTAATGAACTTCATAGCCACATGAGGCAGACCGCTGAATCAGAGTGAACATTTGGCCAGTCAGAGTAGGTGATACCTGTGCAAGATACCACTAATTGGGCAATACGTCGACTCTTGCAACCCCCCGTAACACACTCTCAATGTCCAAATGCACCCCTTCTCGCCTGTGCCATGATTGATTTGACTTGGAGCTGCTTCTTTTTTTTTGCTTGAAACTGTCCAAACGGGTGCCCTCTCTGTGGCTTCTCTGAGCAGAAGGACCACGATGATGGCCATAAAACGGTCTCCGATTTGAAAACCACGATGCCAGAGGCGGGAGAGCGCAGTGAAACTTGCGCATGACGGTCGCAGCCTGCAACCGGCCACCACCAGTTGCAGCTTGTGGCAGAAAGAAGCTTCAGACTTGGTGGTTTGCCTTTGGTTCCCCTTTATTGTGAAGCAGTCAAGTTTGGCAGAGGCAAGGTCAGCTAGAAACTGGCAAGGCCATGCAAGCCAAAGAAGGTATAGGGAACTATGCCATGCCTTGTGTGTCAAGAGTAGTTCCCTTTAACAAGCACAACACCGGCACCCTCAAAGAAAGACAAAGCAACAAAGACCAGGGAGCAAAGAGCGAGGGTAAGGACCATCATGATGAAACGGGGAGTGTGGAGAGCCCGTTTTTTCCATGGGTTGAGGATGGACGCCTTGAGACGGAACAACTATGCATCCAAAACGTTTTGTCTCCACCGTGCGTGGGTCCCGGCTTCGTTTGCAACCGGATCAGGAGAAGTGAATGTCTTCGATGCTTCAGGCGCTGGATTTCGCGGTTGTGAACAACAGTCTTTCTGTGATATCAAAGTAAAATTCCCAGCCTTGCAGCTACTTCACTTGAAGCAGGGGATTTTCTCGTTATTCGAGCGCGTGCCTCCCGCCAACGCAGCACCTTGCAGGACCCTTCAAGATGATTTGTTTTGTGTGCCATGGGAATCCGCCGGGTTCTGCTCTTTCTGTTGTCCAAAACATCTTTGCCCCACTATATTTCCCACCAGTCGAGCGATACCCCTATCAACCAAGGATCTGTCAATCAAGTGGGTTCTCATCAATGACTTTGGGTTAGAGCACCAATCCGAGGAAGCCAACAGCGGATACATCCCCCCCACTTCGAGCGGGTTAGCACCCATGATTAGTATGGTCCTCCTTCTCATTCCTGCAATTTAAGTTGCCACATACCTGTTTGGAGGTTCTTTTTGCAGGGAAATCAGCAAGAAGCCAGGCTCCTTTTGCAGGGATGGCTCTCTTTGCCCTTTGTGGGCGGATTACATTTCAGCTTCCCTCAAAAGGCTGGGTGGGAGGGGTGGTTTCCAATCTGCCCACAAGGGCCAGGGGGTTAACCCTAGACCAGTTTGACGCTGCTGCCAGGTGCTGTTTGGCTGATTTGCTGGCGGGACCAGCAGACTGGTGGCGAGGTTTTTTTGGCGACGCTCGCGCATTGCCAACCGCAGAAGGGCGTCCTGCCCAATTTGCGCAGGTGAACCAAAATGAATTGTGTGGCTAAGTTTGATACCTCATAAGAAGAGCATGGCGAGTTGTGACTGCAAGCCATCGGCAAGTCTCATTCTTGGCTTTCTGGTGCTTCAGCTGTTTTGGCGAGGCAGGTTCACCTTCGCGCATGCAGCTTTTTTCAATCGGACATCTCAGTCACTGACCGGGAACCAGACGACGCAGGCCAGGAAAGAGCGCTAAGCTTTATCAAGCTGGCGCGCCCACGAAATTCGGCGTCGTATGAGTCATTTCTCTAAGCTAGCTTAGGAGGAACCTCCAAAGATACACAGGATATTGTCTCATTCAACTACAGTGTCAGCTGCTTGTCTTTAACCCCCCCTCCTCTCCCCCCCCCTCACCCCCCCTCTCAGACCAAATGATCTCCCCCAACATTTGGCTCAAGGCCCCTTTTGTATATCATTGCATCATTCATGATCGCGTGAAGCAAAAGAACCTTAGCAGGCCGCTTACAGGATTATCCACAAGACAATCCACCAGGGACAATCCATCCTCCAATCATCCACAGTGGCATATTGGATTCTCTCCGGAATAGATCCAGGGACCAACACAACGACCTCTACTACCACAGGGTACCAGTTCCCTTCGGGGATAGGCACCTGGGGCAGTGGGCCTCAATTTGTGGTAGCGGAGCGGGTTTTCCGCACAGATCCAAGGGAAGATGTCATCCGATGGAGAGGGCTTCATGGAAGCCTATTCAAGTATGGCCAAAAATCCAGGCTATACGGAGGAAAAACTAAAATTTATCGATGACCGCCAAGCAGCCGCCATCGTACGACGGAAAAGTCAGCTGGTTCAGGTATGAAGAACTCGTGGACGACTGGGTGACCATCACAACGGTGGAAGCACCCAAGAGAGGACCTCTGCTCAAAAGCAGATTGACGGGAGATGCATATATGTACAAGGCAGTCCTCCAAAACGACCTTTTGCAAGATCCTGATGAAGGAGTCAACTATTTCAAGAACACGCTGAAGAAGTACTTTTTGAAAGGTGCGACCAACGTGTATCTGTACAGGCTCCTCAGTTTCTTCAACCATAGAAGGCAGAACCAAGAGTTCCTCATTTTTACCTCAAAATTCGAAATCCTTCTTATGAGATTGAAGGCAGCATGGATGGACTTGATGCCCGTTTTCACGGCACAGTCCCCATCATTTCGACAGTCCGTACAGGACGCAAATGCAAGAACAATTGCTCGACATCAGCAAGCAGCCGGTGTTCGAGCACCGACCAACGAGGTGGCTTTAAACCCTTCAGAAAAAGCGGTTCTGGCGGAAAGGCCAATATGGCCAAAGATAACTATGATCCCTACACCCAGGCATATTGGGGAAAAGGCAAAGGAAAGAAGGGAAAGAAAGGAAAATCAAAATTCCAATATCCCTATGATGGAAACAAAGGTTATCCATCCTATGAGAGTGGCAAAGGAAAGAGCGGACAGGAGAAAGGAAAATCCAAGACGTTCGCAGCCACCGCAGAGAAGACGGAGGAGCAGCCCGCCATCCAGCAGACTGCACCATCCATGGAGCCTACCTATGCCGGTTGGACAGACCAAGACTGGGATCAATCATGGACATGGAACGAACATGGCTGGTACTCATCCCATGAGACATCCAGCACAGGACAAGCGTTAATGGCATTCCATGATGCATATGAGCATCCTGGGAAAAAGGCCATCCACGAGAAGCTGATCCAATCAGATACAGTTTCAGAACACAATCTGTCCGTCGCAACAAATCACAGCCTTCTGGCAAGAAAGCTGATGGCACCTGTCATCAACCCTCAGCACAACCCGACCTATGCGATTCTGGACAATGGATGTACCAGATCTATGGGCAGCTGGCATGCAATGCAGCGTTTTACTCAGGCCATCGAACCAATGAAGGACATCATCTCCTATGAGTACATTCCGGCCGAGACCAAGTTCATTTTTGCAAACGGAGAGACCGCCAGGGTAAATTGGACCCTGCATCTTCGATATCACACAACTCCTCCATGCAGTACCAACATCGACGTCCTTGAACAAGGAACTGTACCGATCCTTCTCAGCATCAGCCAGATGCGGAACCTCTACATGACCATCGAGCACACACCTCAATGTGACAAGATCACATGCAAGGCCTTTGGCATGAACCGTCAAGCAGTTCCAGTATCCGGTACAGGACATGCACTCGTCGATCTCGCTGGAGTTGCAAGAGTGAAGGCGCATGGAGAAATTGCTCACAAGGGCCTCATCAACTATGTCTATGACGATGACAACAGCATCAAGTTTCCCTCCGGGGATCTCACCAAGAGCGAAACTGTTTGTGCAGCAAAATCATCCGAGACAAAGGAGGACCTAGCAACTCCTAAGATCATTGGGTCTCAAAAGCAGGACCATTGGATCCTTGACAAGAAGAACAAGCAGCTCATCCGTGTGCACATCACGCCCCGAAAGGCGCTGTTCACACCAAATGGAGCCAAGGAATGTCCAATCAATCCTGATCACATTAGCCGAGAACGTACTACGGAAATCATTGATGCATCCGCAGGTGGAGATCCAGACATTCTAGAAGACAATTGGAGACTTACATCCCAGGCAAATAAACCGATGATTAACCTGTGGACAGGTAAGACCATTTTCACCTTCGCGGACAATTCGCTTAAGGACGAAGAAGCAGGTTCAGGATCGGCAGCAGACAGGATCATCGACAAGAGGGGCCGGTCGACTATTGAGCCAGATCCTTTCGCACCATCCTCAGAAGAACCAACATCGCTTCCGCTTGCCCTAGGCAGAATCCACAAGCGATTGTCAAATCCCGAAGAGTTGAAGAAACTCCACCTGCAGCATCATCACATGACAACAGATCAATTTCGATTTAGAACCCGAGCACTTCATTTGCCGAAATCAACATTCGATCTATTTGACAAGATCCGAAGTGAGTGTGAAGTTTGCCAAGCGGCAAAACATGCACCATCACGAAGCAAAACAAGTGGACTTCGAGCGGACACCTTTGGTGACATGACATTCATTGATCACTGTCAAGTTCCTCTTGGAACAGGAGAACACATCATTGTTTTTGTCATCCTGGATGGAGCAACAACATTGCTCACTGCAGAGGCAGTGACAACTACGCAAGAAGTCGAGAACATCACTGTCCTCAGGAACTATTTTGACCAGTACCACTTGCAGCCCAAATCAGTTGTCGCAGATCAAGCCTTCATGACAGATACATGGGAACATTTCTATCAGTCCCTTGACATCACACCGATATCCTTGGGACCGAATACACCATGGCCAAATCGAGCTGAAGCAGCAGTTCGACTCCTGAAGGCACAACTCAAGATCATGCTAAACATACAGGCAGCTAGTGAAGGCCGCTGCAACTGTCAGGAATCAGACCGTCACCTACGGGGGTGTAACACCATTAGAGCTCGCATTCGGAAGACGACCAGCAGATCTCATCCAACTCGATGTCGCAACACCAACTCAGTTGACCATTGACAGGAATGAAGAAGAGCTGACAGCCATCCAGATCAAGCAGCTGTCAAAGCAAGCTTTCCAAGAAGCACGTCAATCCGAAGACATCCGACGAGACTTGCTCAAAATCTCCGAATGAGTTCAAAGCCTCTTCAGGTGAAGGACAAGGTATTCTATTGGCAGGAAGACAAATCCAAGATTCGTTCCGATGGAAGCAAGGGAGGAATATGGCTAAAAGGAAAGGTCATTTCCATTGAAGGAGCGATGGTAGGACTTGATCTTGGGACTCGACTCATCAAGGTTAACATGACGAAGCTCAGGAAGGATGACACCATCCCTCCGGGGAAACCCGGAATTGATCTTCTATTACCAGAAGAGCAAGAATCCTTGCACAAGGAGCAACCAGGCTTCTCTGCAGATACCAAGAAAAAGGAATCCTCCGCACCAGCTCCTCAGCCAAGATCCTCAGTGCCATTACGTATCGCGGGAAAAACAACTCCAAACCCTGTAGTACCTCATCCAGCAGAGAACATGTTCGTCGAGGACCTCACATCACATTGGAATTGTGTACGTAAGGGAAAGATCCACGTTCTCGAGATCTTTGCAGGAAGTGCCAGATTTAGTAAATGCTGTGCACTATCAGGTCTTAACTCCCGTAGACATCCGCACAGGATTCGATGTAATGACATCCAAGGGACGACACATGGTCATGGAGATCATCAGGGAAAAAGCGCCTGATGTCATCCTTATGGCACCGGTCTGTGGACCATGGTCAAATATGCAGAACATCCAACAAGACCAACAAAAGGTTGGGGAAAAGCGGAGACGCTACCTTCCCATGGTTGAATTTGTGGCATCCATTGCGCGATATCAGTTGAAGCACAGAAGATACTTCATCATCGAAAATCCTCAGACATCCAGGATATGGTATCTGAAATGCATGCAACAATTGCTTTCAGATCCATCCGTGACCTGGGGAGATTTCCATTTCTGTGCATACGGACTTAAAGATTCTGAATCCGGGCTCAGAAGTCTCAAGCCCACGAGCTTGATGCACTGTTTACCTTCCGAGGTCATGAGACCGATCTTCAGAAGGTGTAAAATTTTTCCAGCTCAGTCAAGCATGAACACCAACCCCTAGAGGGAAACGCTGGTACCTTCGGAAGCAGGACCAAACTGGCACAGGTGTATCCTTATCAGTTCTTTCAGGATCTCGCGCACATCCTCCTACGACACTTGCAGGTGAAACCGCTTGACAATGAGGTGTACCTCTTGGAGGACCTTTTTGAACCATTCACCATCAAGCAGGTTGATATCCTGAGAAAGGAGTTGGAAGCCATTGACAAGGAGTTCAACATGACCAGCAGCAGTCTTGCAGTCAGAATCCAAGACCTGCCGTTCAACAAGGACGTTCAACCATTAGTCATCCAGGATCCGCTAGTTCAGAAGTTCCAGAAGACGATGAAGCAACACCCACCTGAGACTGAAATCGATATCGTCAAGCAAGATCCTAATGACTGGCGATGTCAGAACATGTGG